GAGTCATTTCTACCTTCTCCTCTCTGTCAACGCTCTCTGGTTTCATTTAAAAGAGTCGATCTTCAGATATTGTCCAAGATTAACCTTCAGGGTGGAAATAGCTCGCTCACACCGATGACCTATCCACGTCACCTTTTACCCAGAATGCTTTGTGTGTAAATAAAATCACCCCGTCTGTGTAATATATTTTTAAACTTTCAGTTTAAAAATGATAAAAACTAAYCAGCCTACAGTATTTTTACTGTCTTTATTTTACAGTTAAAATATATCTTTATCAAATACAGTCTAATGTTACAAATAATCGGGGATCCCTTTTAAGCTCTGAATTCCAGCAAACTAAACAGACTTTTCTTTAAAATGTTTTTTCCTCCCATTTTGACTCTTTTTCACAGTCTCTCATGCACACAAACAGCCCTYATGCTTATAAATATAAATATGTTTTTTTATTCTTTTTCCTCAGGTGAAGACATAGTTGCATGGTTGGCAGACAGATTTCAAATAGATGCACTAGGTAAGAGATGAATCATCTGATGCAATACAAATAGATTTAAACTATATAAGTCAACATTTTAGAGAAGCTTTTCAAAATGTCTATTTCCATTTAATTGGTGATTTTATTTCAAATTGCATCCATCACTGTCTAAAATCTTGATGTTTCTGCTTGTTRGTCTGCAGAAGCCAGAAGCTTTGGCTCCATGCTGGTGGCATTAGGATACATCTACCCTTTACAAGACCACAAACGTTTAGTGATTAAACCAGACATGTCACTGTATCGCTTCCAGGTAAACACACTCCACACCCAAAGAACTCAAACTCYACAACAGCTTCTGGGGAAAAGTGCAACATAAGTTAGACAACAGAAAATATAAAGTCAAACCATTTTTTTCTGTAATTTTTATTTCGAACTATAAAAAAATAATAAAATAGAAAAATAAAACACACACATACATGTAACAAATACAGGGAGAAAAATAACAACTATAAATAATAAAGCATTTATTACAACATAAAATTTCCATCAAAATATAACGTAGAACAAAACATGRTCAAAAGGGAACAGGAAGAAGCAATAGCTTATCCAGTCCTGTCTCTAAGTCTTCATACAAATTCTTAAACCAGTTACAATTTACCCTATCATCTATAGATCAGAACTTAATAAACATATACACACAATTTAGAAATYGTATAGCATTCTATCACATTCATTTTCATAAACATTAATTATATACTCCTTATATTTGTCTTATATTTTGATTTCTGGGGACTGCAAATGCAAAATACGTAGCTTTTATGACTAAATCAGATACAATAATCTTCAATGTCCTGATAAATCTCACAAATCCAGGTGGGAAAATCTAAAAAAAAAAGTTAAGTAGGTCGCCTGTACTCGACAAGTTCTTTGTTGAAAAAAAAAATGCTTCCACATGGTGGACAAACAAGTTTAACAACACATCCCATTCTCACTCCCAGCTCGTCACATCCAGGATWACCTCTYCGTCCGGTTTTGACGCGTCGGGTAACCCCCTCGCGTCAGTTATTGACCAGGTGAAAACAAGGAGGAGCCAGTTGTCATAATTTTGAAAAGTGTAGAAAATACATGACAAGTAACTGTCCCAAACCCTTAACTTAATTTCTATTATCCCTAGACATCCTATCCCTGACCCCACTACCTAAAATTAACCAGTAATCCTGATCCCTAAAATTAACCATGGACCCCAACCCAAAGACCCTACGTGGCTCGAACCCGGAACAGCCCTGCGTGTCAATAACTGACGCGAGGGGGTTACCTGACACGTCAAAACCGGARGCAGAGGGAACCTGGACAAGCGTCAAAATGTGACGAGTCTGGAGAGAGAATGTGTTAAATGACAAACTGGTGTTTGCATGCTAAAAAGGACCATCAGCCAAACAATCGATCATTAGCTCCCTGGTTATCTCAATTGTTCATAGAGGACCATCTGCCTAACAACCATTAGGTTACCTGTAACTCCTCAGACTGAAGAAGTCCCTCGGAGGAGAGACGAAACATTTTTTTCAACAAAGAGGAACTTATCACAAAATGTAAGGAAATTTGTGTCTAGTAGATCATTTCTTCATTGTAACAATGCTTCTTGGCAATAAATACTCAGCTCTACTGCTTATCCCACAAATGTATGTTCCTTAAAAATCTGGCACCATTTAATAGTGAAATTAACAGGCTCTCCATTATATAAGATTTATTACCAAGAAGCATTGCTACAACAAAGAAATAATCTACCAAACACAAGTTTCCTTATTTTTTGTGCTAAGTTTTTGTAATTTTTTGCAGACAAACTGACGTCACCCTACTCAACTTTCACTCTGTTTTCTTGTTGTTTCATTAAGACACCATATTTCTGGCCCACCCAGCAGTGGCCTGTTGAGGATACAGATTATGGTGAGTATGACAAACAGCTGGTGCCTACGTTTTATCTAATCCTATCAACAATCCATTAACCATCCTGTCTGTTTATTCACTYAAGCAATCTATCTTGCAAAAAGAAACATACGTAAGAAAGGCATCTTAGAGCTGCATGAGCAGGTGAGGACACAGCTTAGAAAACGTGTTTTSTGGCTTTTTTCTTATTTTTTATCTGAGGTGTTATTTTGTCTTCTCAGGAGCAGTACAACCATCTTCACAAGTGGATGAATCATAAATGGGATTTCATTGTGATGCAAGCTAAAGAACAGTACAGGTGGGCGTGCAGGCGACTTCACATCTTTTCTAATTTATAGTGAGGATGTTACAAACGTGTTGGTCTGTTTGTTTTTAGAGCTGTGAAGGAGAGGAAGAAACCAGACCGTGTGGTGTTTGACTGTCAGGAGAGAGCCTACTGGGTGGTTCACAGACCTCCGGTTAGAAAACACACACACTCACAGTGTACGGTGTGCGACTGTGTGTCTTCTGAATAAATGAAAATGATTTAGCACAGTTGTTTATACTTTTAGCAGCTCTTTTTATTCCACAGCTGGCCTGCTAAAAATGACAGATTTTATTTTCTGGATCTCTGACAGACGGACTTCAATCTCTGAACTCGTAAAGTTTTTCTTTTTAATTTTCGCTGTCATTTTCATGAATGGACACTTCAATGTATCTGAGGCAGGAAACATAGCCTTATATGGTGTATTTG